CTTATAATCTTACTATATTATTAGCATATGATTTTGTTGAAACTGTATGATGAAATATTTGCATTTTTGGAAATTAAAAATCTAATACTATGATAATGGATAATTAAAAATCACCTAATGTTTATTACTTTAATTAAATTAATTATGATTTATGAGTGTTAATAAGAAAAGAATGTATATTATTCAATTTATAATGAATCAGGTATGTTACTGTGTCAAGTGTTAAGAATGTATATTATTCAATTTATAATGAATCAGGTAAATTTAACATATTTAATTATTCAACTAATGTTTATAAGTTTAATTAAATTAATTATGAGGCTGATCTTACTGATTGGTATATTATTTATTTTACCTTATAATCTTACTATATTATTAGAATATGATTTTGTTGAAACTGTATGATGAAATATTTGCATTTTTGGAAATTAAAAATCTAATACTATGATAATGGATAATTAAAAATCACCTAATGTTTATAAGTTTTATTAAATTAATTATGATTTATGAGTGTTAATAAGAAATTAATTAAAAATCTAATAATATTTGTTACTGTGTCAAGTGGTAAGAATGTATATTATTCAATTTATAATGAATCAGGTAAATTTAACATATTTAATTATTCAACTAATGTTTATAAGTTTAATTAAATTAATTATGATTTATGAGTGTTAATAAGAATTTGAATAATTAAATTTAAAATCAATAAATGTATAATTTATTAAATATCATTTACCTCCATATTTTAAGAGTATCATAAATTAATTATGATTTGTGAGTTTTAATAAGAAAGTAGTAAGACTAATTTATTTTATAAAATTTACCATTTTTAATTATTAAATTTAAAATCAATTAATGTATAATTTATTAAATATCATTTTCCTCCATATTTTAGGAGTATCAAATTTTTAAAAATGACAAATAAATAAATATTAATTATGTTTTAAGTTAAAGAAATACAAAATTCTTAAGATTTAGAAAAAATAATTAACACTTCAAAGATTAAAAACAAAAGTAAAAGAGAAAAAATAAATTATCAAATTTTTAAAAATGACAATTAGGTCTTATAAAAAGTTAATATTATACCGTTCATATAAAACCCGTCATACTTGACGGGGTATCCACTAGTTATTTTATAATGTGCAATTAATAAAAATGAAGGTTTTATGTATGTGTTTTTTATTTTAAGATGAAATAAAAAAAAATATACCTCCCTATACATAATTCGAATGTAATTTAAATACAAAAATATTCAAACCGGTTTCTAGAGGTTCGAACCGAACCGATATTTTTATTTTTACGAACTAAACCTGAACCTTGAACTGTTATTTTTATCCAAACCGATATAACAAAACAACTTATAATAAATCACAAGAGAATAAAAATAACAAAATATGAATTACAAAGTATAAATATGGAAAAATATATGAAAATTTCAGAATATACTATTTTTTAAATTAAATCTTTTCAAAAAAAACATACATTATAATGTAGATTTTTTAAAAATATTAGATAATAAATAATTGAACATAATAATTGAAAAAGTATCCATTTTTGTAAATTTAAGGTATGGTTTATTGGTTATTATTCAATTAAGTTATGGTTATCATATTATAGTTTTAGTTATTCCAAAATTTTCACTTGAAACCAAATACCTGATTAAGAACAAAAAAATGAATTAGAATTAGATGGTTACAAAAACTTATAAGTTGCAATCATTATATTCTAAGGTTATATTAAAAACTAATTTAGATAAATCAGGTGATCGATCATAATCACTTTTACCTAGCTTTGATTTTGAGCCTCATTCAATAAAAATATCGTATAAGATTTTTTTTATAAAGTTTATTTTCTAAGTTTTGAAAGATGTTTTATCTATTTTAAACATTTAGGATCCTGGTAAAAAGTTTTCAAAGAATCAAAATTGATAATTATAAAATATTTATCAACTGAAACTTTAATTAAACATCTTTACAATATATTTTTACCTGTTTACTATAAAAAAATTCAAATAAGTTAAAAAATAACAATTATGACAATTGTCACTTTTCTATTAATACATCTTTACTGAAATTTTATCTTAACATCTTTGCAATATTTATTTTTACCTATTTACTATAAAAAAATTCAAAAAAGTTAAAAAATAACAATTATGACAATTGTCACTTATCTATGGTACATCTTCACTGAAATTTTATCTCAACATCTTTACAATATTTATTTTTATCTATTTAATATAAAAAAATTCAAAAATAATTATTATGACAATTGTCATTTTTCTATGGTACATCTTCACTGAAATTTTATCTTAACATCTTTACAATATTTATTTTTACCTATTTACTTAAAAAAATTCAAAAAAGTTAAAAAATAACAATTATGACAATTGTCACTTATCTATGGTACATCTTCACTGATATCTCAAGTAGTCGGAAGAACTCCCCGACTATACAGTGATGCAGGTTCGGTACCCCTCAAATATTATATTTAGACGACTAAATTATTCAATTAAGCCGCTAAATGGGTGGACTAAACAGACTAATTTAGTCGACTAAAAAAACTAATTTGGTCAGTCGACTAAGTCGTTTTAGTCGAACAAATTAGTTGCTTTAGTCGACCATATTAGTCGTTTTAGTCGACCAAATTAGTTGTTTTTAGTCGATAGTTGTTTTAGTCGACTAAATTAGTCGTTTTAGTCGACTAAATTAGTCGTTTTAGTCGACTAATAGACTCATTTATTCGCTTAAGTTTTTAGTCGAAATTAGTTAGTCGTCTGTTAGTCAACTAAATTAAATGTATTATTTGCGTTTTAAACGCTGCGTTGAAAAGTAAATTTGTGCGCACTATGAAGTTTCAGAATTAGTGCTTGTCGAAGTTTGAACTTCGTAAGGCTGTGAGCGTCTACATGATAATATATTCACTGGAAGTAAGCAACACCCCCCCCCCCTTCTCAAAAACCAATACCTACTCCCCTAAAAAAAATTCATTAATACTCTACAACTATCTAAAAAGCGAATGTAAAAGAGGCTTTATTTAGAACATAGATGATTAAAAAAAAACCCTCATTTACAATGAATACATTATTCATTGTAAATGGCATGATTATGAGTTTGCTGATAGAATGTATAACCCTTTTAAATTACATTTAAACAGATAACAGAAAATTATCCAGAAATAAGTTTTATTTGAAAAATAGTGATTATATGATTGTATGCTATACATAAATTTGGTCGATGCTTAGAATAACATTGTATTATAATAGGTTTCTTAAATCAATATATTTACACCTATTTCATTAAAATTTTCAGAGTTGATAAAGTATCTATATACAAATATCTAGATATAAAAAATGTGGTATTTGTATCTAGATAGATTTTTTTTAAATATCTGTATCTAGATATTGTTATAGAGGTATCTGTATGTTTTTAGATACATTTTAATATATTTTATTTAACTAATTTTATATTATAATCAAATAATGAATTCAATGATTAGTATATTAATAAAGTGTAAGTTCCTTGCCTGTGATTCTTATAAAATAAGACTTCAAGTAAAGGATGGACAAGAGAGCAAAAAAATTATATTTCAATAATAAATTTTATAAACCAAATAAGTTCATTTAATCATTCTATAAATTTATTAAGGTTAAAAGAAAATTAAAAACTCTATCGAATCTGGTGCAAAACGGCTCTTTCTGAGCCGATTTTTAAAAACGGCTAATTCAATATTTTAGCCAGAAAAATATTGCCTAAGTCTCGAGATCTAATTGATATCTAGACCTTGGTGCCACCTGTGAGCAAAATCTTCAGGCTTGCGTAATATTATTCTGGATAAAATATTGAGTTAGCCGTTTTTAAAAAACGGTTCAAATCGAGGGTTTAATTGTACCTTTTTTTAATTCTAATGTCATCATAAATAAACGTTTATAAATAAAATAGTTACTATTAGCAATTATTGAAATATTGACCCCGCGAACGCGATATTTAATTCGCTATAATATTTTCGCGATATATGTTTCGCGAAATAGTTTTTACTACTTTGCGATAACGACTTCGCTTTAAAATTTTGGCGATTATTGATTCGCAATAAAAAATTTGCGATTATTGATCGCAATAAAAGTTTCGCTGTAATGTATTCGCTTTAAAAGTCTCGCTATAAAAAATATAGCTTGGCGCAATGGAATTCGCTAATGTGGATTCATGATAAAAGTTCAGCTAAAAAATACATTCGCGAAAAGTTTCGCAAAAAATTGTTTCGTATAAAAATTTCGCTAAATTAGGGAGCCCCTGACCTGACTATACAATATTATGAAAATAGCTATCATAATGAGAATGACTACAAGTTATTTAAAATGTTTTTTTTTATATATTTTTAGATTCATGAGTCTAATATTTAGGTATCAATAACAATAATTTACCATTATAAAAGAAAGGATGCCATGATTTGAATACTCAATAAAAAGTTGTATTGCCATAATTCTTATAAATTTAATTTCACCTACTTTCATTAGTTTTTTTTTCAAATATAAAACTGCTCGTATAGTTGATCAATATAAAAATAGGCTAATTCAGCTCAATCTAGACGCGTTCGGAAAAAAAAATCCGATAGGCATTGAGGTGAAAGTTAACTGATTTGTGCTTCAAAGTTGATAATATTTTCAAAAAAAAATCAGAGGACATTCTTGGGTAAACTTCAAAAACAGCAAAGTAAAGTGATAATACGGTTTAGCTTATTTATAGCAAGCTATCAAATTTTTCAGCCTACGCCTCACAAAAACAAAGCAAACAATGTATGTGTTCCAAGGTGAAAAAAACAAGACGCATCTACATTTTTGTGGAGTCTACGTTGATATGACTAAAAAGTGTTAGGTTTTGAAGCTTGATTTATAACATCATTAGATTAATAAAAAAAATATTCTATGAAGCATTCAATTTGAACAGGTCCTATATATAAGTATAAAAACTAATAATAAACATAAATATTTTAATAAAAATGTTAACCTTGGTTATGCAATCTTGAGTAGTTTTTATTCGTCAAAGTGGATAATGGTCGATGTGGAGAAAAGGCAAATAATTTAGGGGTTAAGACGTTAGGTGTGACACGAAAAACGTTGCGTTCCCGGGAAAATAGTAAAAAAAAAGTATCAGAACGTGCACATTCGAGTCCATCCTGTAAAAGTTCGTATTCACCAGGGCAGGCGCAAATAAATTCTTGAGTAGCGGGCCCGATCATAGCGGTTTTAGCAGTGGGACGATAGTTAAAATTATTGGAACCAAAGTTAGCAGTGTTATTATCATTGTCATTATTTGTAAAGCGTTCATGGGTGAAAATTGTTTTTTCAGGAACGGGAAAGCAAAAGTGGCTGCAACCACTGTTGTTGATCGAGCAGGGGTTGTTGCCTTAAGAATGAGTAGTTTAAAAAATTATAAATATTTTAGATGAACGATAAAATTTAAAAAATGATGAAATCTGGCAACAAAAATTTATTTTAATAATATTGATGATCAAAAGTCCGTTCGAACGGGACGCATTTGAGTCCTTAAGACGCGTCCTATCTAAGTTAACGTTTTTGAGACATTCAGCATTATTGCAGGTTGATAAGATTCTGAACCCCTAAATCTTTCAGGAAAAGGTTTATGATTAATCAATAATTTTAATCATGATTCCAGCTACTTTTTAAGATATTTAAAATTATATTAAACTAATTTTTGAACCTGATTTAACAATTGTAAATTACAATTAGTGTTAAACTAAAAAGTGCATGATTAATAGCGTCTACATGACAATAAATTCACCCCCATCTCTCTAAACCCAATATATACCACCCTAAGAAATTTTTGGGCGCCTTCGGCGGAGATACTTCCATTTATTATTTACGAATTTTTAATTATAATTGTAATCCTTTCATATATTTTATAAATTATATATTCTAAATTTTAAATTCTCTATTACAAAATAAAATTATGAGTGTGAAAAAATTATTTTTTAGAATATAGAATAAATTAAAAACCTTCTACTCATTTATGGTGAATTCATTATTATAGTGTATTGTTTAGTAGGAATTGTTAGTTGATAGGTCTACCCACATTCAAATATAATTCAAGAAAATTATCCAGAAATAAGTTCTTTTGTAAAATTACTCAATGGCTATGATTGTACCTGATAATCTTTCGCAATTTCTGATAATATAGGATATATATTTTGGTGTAATTTCCACCATTCAAGGAAATTTGTATCCTTGGAAATGGGGTCTTCATCAATATACACTTATTTCAACTAAGCTATTATTATCATTATCTATATTTTTTTTCAATGATATATTTCCAAGGTTATTATTTTATTTACTTTTTGTTTCATTCACAGACAAAGTGAAATTATTATTTATTTTATATTTATTATCTTTAGGATTTTAGTTAAGAAATATTTTTTCAAATATTATTAAATTTTGATAAAAAATTTTAGAGTTTAAAAAAAATCCTTATTTATTTTATGGTTCCTTACTCAATAATAATATTTCCGAAAAAATTTCGATTAAACCTTTTCTGAGATGCAAAACATGGAAAAGTTCAACAACCACATATCATCGCAACAGCTTTTTTACTTATTAAAAAAGTGTTTATATCTTCCTAAAATCTGGCATCTCTTCTACTCATCCTCCTCATTCACCTCCTCAAAATTTTTTATTCAAAACATTATTCGCTTAAAGACCTTTATAGAAAGGATTCTCAACATTTCATTTTCAGACTTTAATTGGAACCAAGCCCAATTACCCGATAAACTAGGTGGTATCGACTTAATCCCCTTAAAACTACTTTCCCTATCTCTATTTATCTCAAATCGCCTATCGCTCAATTCTGCGATCTCATTTCATAACTCCCAATGATGATCTTCTAATAGCAGCAATTGAAAGATGATCTACTTACCCCAAACGGTTATATATTTCCAACCGAAATCTCTAATAAATCTATCATCGAGCCCCTAATAAAGAAATTAAAAATCTTAACCCAACCGCTATTAGCGATATACAACTATTACAATTCAACGATGAATGGCTCAAAGTACTTGCAAGCCAAACCTTAGATAATCTCTTAACCAATGACCAACTGCGAGTTACTATAGGATTTAGACTTGGATGTTCGCTTACACAGTCACACACTTGCCACCTTGCAACTTACCCGTTCTACCTAACGCCAGACATGGCCTAAACTGCACCCACAGCCAAGGTCGCCATCTCCGGCAAAGCAATTAATAAAATCATCCATAACGCTTTTAATAAGGCTAAAATGCCCAACATCCTTAACCTACCAATCTCTCATTACAGGACGGTCTCAGACCCGTCGGTTTAACCTGCACCCCCTGGTCCAATAGGAAATCTTTTATTTGGGACGCCCTGCGTCTCCTCCTTTCCTTCATCAATTAATTCAAACCTTCTTACTTGTGGGGAAAAAAAAAAATAAATATTCAAAATTAAATAACTTTCAGCCAATAGTCATTTCAACTAACGGCAATTTTTCACAGTCTACATATATTTTTAAAAAACTTTATCACGAAAATTTTTTAGCATAACAAACGAATATCGCGAATCTTTATTTCTTAAACAAAAACTTCAATTGGAAATTTTTAAACACAATTATACTTGTTTTTTAGGTCCATTTTCATTATTAAATTGAGCTCTTTTTAGAGCCTTCGATACTATTAATATATATATTTATTTAGTAATTTTACATATTTTTATACTTGTTTTAATATTTTAGTGTTTTATCATTTTTTTAAATAAATAAAAAGTATCAACATTTAAAAAAAAAATTTATGGGTTCTAGGACAGCCATGCAAGGAGATTGGTCAAAGACCTGCTGATTCTTTTTTAAATGAATTGATGGCATATGATACCTCTATATCTGTGACAGATGGATTGGGATGAGGGGTGTTGACCAAGGGTATTGTATAATATTAATATATATTTTTTAAACTATATTATTATATAAAATTGAAAATAAAATTGGAGTTTAAAAAAAAAATATATAACATTTTCATGTGATTTTTTTTCTTGGAAACTTCCTTCCGGGGAAATATTATCGTGATTATTCATTATCCCATTTAAGAACAACATTTTTATTACCATAATAAATTATGACTAAAAAGAGAAAAAAGTTATAATTTTGTAATTTCATAATTAAAATCGTATTTAATACGTTACAATCTGAGAAGGCTTCTTACGTGGATAATTTAATACGACTTAATCAATTAATCAAAAACCATAATGCCCATGAAACATTTAGTGATTCTGAACCTGATCAACCTGCAATAACGCCGAATCCTACACTTTTAGATACTTCATTGAGTATTATACCAAATGTATGAAATTTACTTTTTTTTTGTTGATTTAATATATCATCTATATTATATATATAATCCTAAAAAAACGTCAATCTAATTCATCTAATAGTATCCTTTATAATAAAATTTATCCAATGATAATCAAAATGATTTAATATAAATGCACTAGATTATATATTTCATTTTTAATGGCCATTTTATATTTTATACTCAAGATGCTCCAGATCTTTCAAAATGTGTATCTCATCTGATCGTAATGATTTTGCCATCAGGTACAAGGAAAAATTTTAAAAAATGATAAAACATAACATACAATATCGTCAATAATAAAATCTTAAACTCACAAATTAAAATTAATATATTATCAAGGATTCTTAAGGAGATCTGTAAAAAAAATCAGTTGACAAAATAACGCGCGACTTTTACAGTAGCGGAGCCTTGGCCACTTTAAAAAAATAGTGATAGCGGTAGCTTTTTATTAATTTAGCTACGCTACTTTTAAAAGTAGCATGCTATCTCCGCTTTCAAAAAAGAAGAGTGCTATTAACTATATTTTATGCCTACTTTGGAATTTTTTTTAAATAATTTTTATTGCATCTCAATAATAAAAACATTTCCATAGTGTCATCTTCAGGCTTAGAGAAACGATAAGAAAGTATAAGCTATCTAAATAATTGTTGAACACTAGCATATGCAGTATTAAATTTAATATACATATTTTTTATATAAGAAAAATCATCAAAAATTTGCATTTGAAGTATTTTTAGATCTAAAAAAATTGCTTCTTAAGGATTTTCAATAGTATTATTATTTATTTCAAAAAAATTATCTATAGTAGGTGGCGTTTTTGTCATGTTTGCCAACTGGCCAGGCCACCATCCTTTAATTTTTTATCTAATTGAACCACTATCAATAGATTTCTTGACAGAGATAAAATCCTTTAAGATCTGCGGTGTTCGATGTTATCCTGACTAGAGGTTAATGGTTACAATTTTCTGGGCGGGCATTGGCGGGATTTCTAAAATAATAAACATTGGGAGGGGGGGGTTAGAAAATATTTTAAAAATAATGGATGGGAGTGGACGGGTACATTTTTAATCTTTTTCAGGTGAAATCAGCAGAAGAGATTTCTATTTATTAAAGATAATAGTTTTATTTCATAATATTGCATTATATATATATAAAGAGCCAAACAATCCATTAAAATGATTTTTAAACATTGAGCGGAAGGGCGGATAACAAAATATTTAGATAAATGAGCGGTTAAAAACCCCTGGTGAGAGGACGAGGAGTTAAATAATTTAAAAACAACGAGTGGGCGGTATTGTTAACTAAACCCCGACCATTGCAGACCTCTAATCCTAACTGTAGGTATGCAATGTACAAGTTTTGGCACAAATGCCCACATGCTCATATTCTAAAAAAACTTAACACACTCGGCCTACACCAATTTTTTTTTGAATTAATCTACCTGCTCATTTATTTAAAAATTTAACTCGCCCGTCCAATGTTTAAAAATTATTATATTGGTTGATTTGGCCCTTTATTTATTATTTAAATGTTTTTTTACTTTTATAAAATATGAAATAAAAAAATTATATTTAGTTAATATAAGTCTGTTACTCATTTCACCGAAAATATTTCAAATTCATTAGCCCTTTGTTTTACATATATTTTTTTAACCCTCCCACTCCCCAATCTAATATTTAAAATCTCAGCCCATCCGCTAAATAGGCAAGTTATGCAAAAATATATCATCTAATAATATTAAATTTTTTAAATTTTAAATTCCTAATACAAATGTATAAAAATGCATTAAGAAATATTTTTATTGAGCACAATTTTTTCCGATGTTATGAAATTAATATAATGAAAAAAATATATTAACACATATGTTACCAATTATTTATTCATATTGATGGTAATAACTTTATTAAAATATTTTATAAAAATAATCAAAATTTTAGAAACAACTTTCATCAAAATAAAGACAAATCTAAAATTCACAGCTCGCAAATTTCTGATTTATTTTATTATTAAATAAGGGTGAATTTCTAATTCATTCACTATCAAATTAAAAAGAAAATCTTGATTCCCCGTCATTTTTAACAGACTATCAGCTAGTAATAATGTAATAATTTTTATATTTTTTAAGATTAACATAAATTGAAATTCAAAAAAAAAATATGGTAATTTTTCCCCCATTGTATAATTTGAAGTGGTAGAAAAAAGTGTTCCTTTTTTTTAAATACATGACTCAGGTTTAGAATTCGAGTCGCGACTTGAGTTGCAAAAATGATTCAACTTTTTATAACTAAAAGTTCGACTTGAGTCGCGACTAAGCCGACTCGGCTGGGTTTAATAACACTAGCGTCTATAGTACCGATTTTTTAAAAAGGTCCATATCAAGTAGAGATTAGCATGCAAGACCCGTCCGAAAGCCCGATATATATAAAATAGGGAGGGCCTTTAAAGTCTCTGATTTTTCCATAAATTTTACTAGGCCAACACGGGCATTATAATTTTAATATATTATTTTTGAATTTCACACTAATATTTTGATTAATACTATTTGAATCAATTACAATATGCTTATTTCTATGCATTTTAAGAGTTGTCTAATTGAAATACTAAATTTATAAATATAATAAATTTACAAAATAAGCAAGTTATTTATTTATGATCCATTTATATACACAATAAAAATATCAAATACAATTGAGTTAAGGTTGTTGTAAAGAAATTAGCCATAGAGGAGAGATATAAGAGCCTTAATTGATATTAGGAAAAATTATGCATAGACATTGAAAATGGAATGGGCGGAAAATTTGTACAAGAAATTTAACTGGCCGAGGTAACTTATAAAATTTTGGACCTGGCCTGACTTTTCGTAAAATTATAACGAGATATTTTTAATATCTATAACCTTGTGAATGAATTCGTCCTTATTTTCGAATTTTATAATAAAGTAATTTTATATTTAGTATAAATATAAAAATAAAGTATATTATCATTGTATAAATTATTATGGGGAAAAGTTAAAAGGGAGGCGGATGAGAAGGCTTGGATAATGGGTCGAGATTTGATCACCACTATTGAAAGTTAATAAAAAATAAATAAAATGAGTTACCTGTAAAACCATTGAGAGTGTCAATGGCTTTAAGTCCCATCAAATCGGCCAGTTCCCTAATAATGACTTTTCTTTTACTGCCATCTCTTTTATCACAACTTTCTATCAAACGCCTTTGCCAATCGGTCCAATACAATTCATTGCCTTATATTTTTACGATAAAAAAAATCATATTATATATTAATTATGTAATTTTTTTGCTTGCCAACTCCATCCGATATTAATAAATTAGGTCTAAGTCCGAATAGGATAAGGTTGAGCTGGACCTTTCAGGCAAGGCCAAAACACATTATATATGAACTGGTTAATTTTTATATATATTGTATTTTAGATGGTTTATTTAATGTCAAATTTTTTATAGCCTTAATAGTTATAATCAGAACCTGAAACCTTTGGAATGGTGTCAAATTTAGAAACCAGATCAACTTTTTATATTTAGTAGGAATCCTGTTCAGACCAGGTTTCAAATTCTGATTATAATTCTTTAAATAGTGTTTAAATGAAAAAAAAATAATTGGAATAAAAAGATTTGATGTAAATCTTGATAAATAATAAATATCGCTAGAAGCATAGTTTAAAAAATAATCAATGCACTATAAAAATTTGAAATCGGAGTTTTAGGCATAATAAATATTACAAAAAAAGATGTCTGATTTTTTATTAAATGCTAGAATCCGGACTGACAGACTTGCTCGTCGGGGGGGGGGGGAGGGGGGGGCTTAAATTCTTAATATCATATCTTATTATTTCTTCCATATAAATTTAATTATTTATTTCATTTTATAATTCTTCCTAGTTCTTCTTGACAAATATTAACGCCTATAACAATAATAACCTTGCCTGTAAAAGAAAAACTTAAGTTTTCAAGTAAAGAATATCTGGCTTAGCAGGGTTGTTACTTTTCAACTGGATCTTGATATAAATATAAAGTTTTAAAATAGATCTAGATACAGGTATATAGTCTAAAAACTAATCATTCTCGGAATTTTATCATTGAGCCATCCCTGTTTTCTGTAAATTTTTAAATTCTTTTACCAGGGCACTTGAAGGCTGATTGGTTGTTATATTTTATGAATAACAACTTTATATTGATATAATATTTAAAATATTTATCTCCAGACACTCATTTTTTTAAAAATTATTCAAAATTTGATGTTGTCAAAACTTATATCAACATTTATACATAGGGTTGCTCCAAAAATCTAATATTATATTATTTGATAACTATTCAGAGATTGTCTCGAAATATTGATCTAAAAATTATGATATATATTTCTTATATTAATATAAATAAATTATAATAAAAAATTTACCATGTTGTCGGTAAAATTAAATGAGTGTGGTTGTTTTTGTGAAATAAACTTTAACATATTATTAAACGAATTTAATTCAAATATATTATCATTTTTAATATAAGAAAAAGAAAATTATATCAAAATTCTCTTAAAAGTATCTAAATACAGATACATCTAAGATAATAATATAGTTTATTATAAAAGTGTAGAACATTTTTGTATCTAGATACAATCTGATGATTGGCGAATAAATTACTAAATTTTTATCGAGCAATAAAGTGGAATCTGATCTATCCAAGTAGTAGTCAAATTCAATATTTTCGATAATTTATATTAAACAGAGCCTAGCCTAAATTTTTTTTTATTTTCCCAGCGCGAAATTTTTAATTAAAATATAAATTAAGCGTTTTTTTATAAAGATAAATAAAATCTCTTATATAATAAAAGTCTTGTCACATTTTGTGAAAAGTGAAGCAAGAACGATGTAAAAATAATATATATAATATAGGAAATACCATAAAAATATCCCCGATATAATCTTTTATAGATATTATACATTTTTATGAATTCAAAATTTCAAGCCTAATAATTATTTGATTTGGGCAATAGAAAATTCTTAAGGTGATATACCAGAATAATTTTTAAAAATTGTGCTTCTTTCTCAGTTTTGAAAATATCTGTTGTATTCTTTTTTGGTAAAATTTTTATTATTTCTTATATAAAATTTTTTTATATTATTTTCTTTTTTATATAGCTACAAATGAGTTTGTGTTGAAACTGTTATATTATTCTAAAGTCTTAGTGATACATAGTTTCGGTGGGAAAAAATTTGAATTATTGGATTTTTTACATCTCAGAAATCGGAGCAAATTGTTTTGCTATCCTGCATGGATAATAAAAAAATGTATCAAGAGGAATAATTTTCTTAGGTCATAAATAACAAATACATATATATATATATATAAATTTTGTCGAAATGATTCTGTGCATATAAAAATATTATTTGAGATATAATAGGAAAATTTCTGATTTACCCATCGTCAAATAAAGGAGAAAATTCTGACTCAATCGTCATTTTTGAAGGGATATCTGCTCGTAAAATTATAATTGTGTAATTGGTGCATTTTTAACCGTTTTTTTCGAAAACTCTTACCTTAGTCTCACATTTTTTGTATAGTTTAACTATGAAGAAATAAATTAATTAATTCGCGCCTCAATACTTAGCAAATTTTCTAAGCATGTGCTAGATTGAGCCAAATTCGCTAATTTTTAGCCATTACCCAACTATAGTTCCTAATACCAAGGGAATTCTAAAAAGTTTCGTTTTAATAAAAAAAATTTCAATTTTTAAATTATAGGCTAATCGGAATTGCAGGGTTTTGCTTATTTTACAAATCAAAGCTGAAATGAGCAGTTATAAAAACAGAAGCAAAACATTTTTTAATGAAATCGAAAAATCGCATCGTACGCTTTGGATTTTAACAGTCTATAACTATTCTATGAAGATTTTTAGTATTAAATTTATACAAATAATATTTGAAGTGGAACTAATAATCGCCTCTGGTGTAGTGTTGCTAATTGGCTCGTTTTATAATAAGATTTTAGCCAAAATAATACTTAGCCATCCTCGAGATTTCGTTAATAAATATCCAAAATTTTCTGCCATTTATGAACAATCTCCAGGCTTGCGTTAAATTTTTTGGTTAAAATATTGGGTAAGATGTTTTTAAAATCGAGCCATTTAACAACACTACTTTGGTCAACATATATTTTTATTATTTTAGGAACCTTAAAAATATATTAAAAAGTATGTAATGAAGAATCAGTTATCATTTCAAAATCTACATCCACCTTCTTATTTTATTGTACAAAATTTTGATGTTTATTGAGAAGTATATTCCTTATTATTTGTAATTCCTCAATCTCCAATTACTCATCCCAGACGGCAACCTAACCTTAACTCTCGACACCTAGGGCAAAAATGTTCACCATTCCACATCAGACAAACCTCTCATGCCCAAAAAGCCTGGGATTCTGTTTCCAGTTCCATTTTTACCTCCTTACAAACGGCCACCTTGAGATGAACCCTAATTCAATAATTTATAAAATGAAAACACGATATGAATAACTAGAGGCAATACCCAGCTCCAACCTTGGGTTACTCCACTCGACAGTGCAACTTAGAATCTTCATCGCCCCTCCCCCGCCTAAGATGTAACAAAGTAACACCATCTGTATTGACTATGGTAAATTATATTCAGAGTTACCACCCATTATGAGCAAACATTCTCATGGATGCCAAACCCGCCAGAAAGTTATCAACATCATACTAAAAACACACCTTCCCACCCTCGAATCAGGTTTCTTTAATGATAGTTCCAAAAACCCGTAGTATTACTTTAATATATTGGTCTAAAGTCTTCTCCTAGCCTGGAACTACACTTGAAATGATTTCTCAGCGAAATCAATCATTCACACTTTGATCTAAACCGAAACTATAAAAAGAAACAACAAATACACCGATATTAAATACACTATTGCCCATAGTTAACAACACCCTCGGAATCCTTAGGGATGAAACTTTCCAATTAATCAAATGCCTTGGAAAAAATAACTATAGACACCGAAGATCCCAATGGATGATTTTATGTCAACAGAGAATTTCCTTAGAAATTTATCGATCTAACTTCCCGTGCATCCACTCCTCCCTTGGATGGCCCCTAACCTTTTTTCATTTTTTCCAATATTCAGTTAGTCACCTTTTTTTGCCAAATTTTTGGAAATTTAATTTGTCATTCTTTTTTAGAAATAATTTTTCTTTATAATACAATATATCCATTCAGCTGTAAAATTAATTTAGTCAATATTCATTTGAATCTCTTATCTAAATTCAATGTTATATAAATATATTCAATGATAAGCCCAGAATTTCGAAAGACACTTGCATATCATTGACTAGTGTTGCTAAATGGCTCGGTTTAACCGATTTTAGAATAAGATTTTCGCCAAAATAATAGTACACCAGCCTTGAGAATTCGTTAATAGATGTCCAACCTTCTGTCATCTATTAGCAAAATTTTCAGGCTTACTTATTATTTTTTGGATAAAATAGTGATGGTAACTGCAAACAGTTTTTTGTATAAAAGGTTCTACCAACAAATACCTCCCAAAATAATTGACCTATATTAATAATTCCATGAGTTTAAAAACTCAAGTGATCTGTCCAACATGCAATCTACCTAAATCATTACCCAAACTAGGTAAAATTACTTTATTTCGACAAGGGAATATTCGATATCACTTTCCTGAAAAAGCAATTGTCTCAACCATTAAAACACCTCCAATTACACTTAATCAAATTTCTACAAAACCAATCATAAGTACATTAGCAAAATCAGTTGATACAACAATCATAACAACCAATCTTCAAGCTAACTTATCTGACACTTCTCTTAGACTAAAATAGGATCCACATCAAGAATTCTTAGAAGTACCTAAGCTTCAGTAGATCAATGCTTAACTAACCTTTTAAAAAATTTGAATTTGAATTTCAACCATTTAGACAAATGGCCAAATTTGTTTCTATTCACACCTCATATACTTAACATACACTTCGATGTTCTCCAAAGCTAACCAAAAAAATAAAACAATCTATATCATCTTTCAACATCGCCAACAAAATTACCATTTGTATGAAATATACACTTAACCCACCATTTGATACAACTTATTAAGCTAAATTAATCACCAAAAATATTAAGATTCTTAATATAATCAGCCCCCTTAAAATTTTAAATTCAAATGAAGGTTTAGCCCCAATAAATCATAACATGTTAAATTTACTCCAAT